TTAAAAATTAGAAAATGATTAAAACTTTAAGCTTGAGAAGGAATCAGAACTTCTCCAAAACTAAGTGATGTGTTTTGCCAAAGGTATACAGAAAATTGTGTATATCTAATGAAAACTTTCAACTATTGTCTATATGGTTGATTTTTTGGTAAATTATGTATAAAAATGTTGTGATTTCTGTAGATTTTGAATAATAATAACTTTCTTTTATTTCCAATTATACCAAGGAGAGCAGAAAAAACCAGCAGAAAGTGAAAGACTTGAAGAAATTTAGGCAAGTAGATTGTTTAATTGATTGTTTCTTTCTGACTTCCCCATTAAAGAAGAAGAAAAATAGATAAGAGAGCGAAAATGTCAAATATACTTTGTATACAACAAAGAAACCCTTAAGAGCTATTTTCCTAATGCTTGTAGTTTAAAGATTTGGTTGGCTTGCTTGCTTTGCTTGTATAAATGTTTGCTCAAGCATTGTAGTTAAGATTGACATCTGCAATCAATAGATAGGCGGGGCTTCAGCTTGTATACATTATACTCTGCATTATACTTAACATCCAATAACATTTAGGTATGAGTATAATGTATACAAGCTGAAGCCCCACCTATCTATTGATTGCAGATGTCAATCTTAATTACAATGCTTGAGCAAACATTTATACAAACAAAGCAAGCAAGCCAACCAACCCTTTAAACTACAAGCATTAAGAAAATATTGCTGTTTTTCATAAGTTCACAGACAAGTTTTAACAATTAGAAAATGATTAAAACTTTAAGCTTGAGAAGGAATCAGAACTTCTACAAAACTAAGTGATGTATTTTGCCAAAGGTATACAGTAAATTGTGTATATCTAATGAAAACTTTCAACTATTGTCTATATGGTTGATTTTTTGGTAAATTATATATAAAAATATTGTGATTTCTGTAGATTCTGAATAATAATAACTTTCTTTTATTTCCAATTATACCAAGGAGAGCAGAAAAAACAGCAGAAAGTGAAAGACTTGAAGAAATTTAGGCAAGTAGATTGTTTAATTGATTGTTTCTTTCTGACTTCCCCATTAAAGAAGAAGAAAAATAGATAAGAGAGCGAAAATGTCAAATATACTTTGTATACAACAAAGAAACCCTTAAGAGCTATTTTCCTAATGCTTGTAGTTTAAAGATTTGGTTGGCTCGCTTGCTTTGCTTGTATAAATGTTTGCTCAAGCATTGTAGTTAAGATTGACATCTGCAATCAATAGATAGGCGGGGCTTCAGCTTGTATACGTTATACTCTGCATTATACTTAACATCCAATAACATTTAAGTATGAGTATAATGTATACAAGCTGAAGCCCCACCTATCTATTGATTGCAGCTGTCAATCTTAATTACAATGCTTGAGCAAACATTTATACAAACAAAGCAAGCAAGCCAACCAACCCTTTAAACTACAAGCATTAGGAAAATATTTCTGTTTTTAATAAGTTCACAGACAAGTTTTAAAAATTAGAAAATGATTAAAACTTTAAGCTTGAGAAGGAATCAGAACTTCTCCAAAACTAAGTGATGTGTTTTGCCAAAGGTATACAGAAAATTGTGTATATCTAATGAAAACTTTCAACTATTGTCTATATGGTTGATTTTTTGCTAAATTATGTATAAGAATGTTGTGATTTCTGTAGATTTTGAATAATAATAACTTTCTTTTATTTCCAATTATACCAAGGAGAGCAGAAAAAACCAGCAGAAAGTGAAAGACTTGAAGAAATTTAGGCAAGTAGATTGTTTAATTGATTGTTTCTTTCTGACTTCCCCATTAAAGAAGAAGAAAAATAGATAAGAGAGCGAAAATGTCAAATATACTTTGTATACAACAAAGAAACCCTTAAGAGCTATTTTCCTAATGCTTGTAGTTTAAAGATTTGGTTGGCTTGCTTGCTTTGCTTGTATAAATGTTTGCTCAAGCATTGTAGTTAAGATTGACATCTGCAATCAATAGATAGGCTGGGCTTCAGCTTGTACACGTTATACTCTGCATTATACTTAACATCCAATAACATTTAAGTATGAGTATAATGTATACAAGCTGAAGCCCCACCTATCTATTGATTGCAGATGTCAATCTTAATTACAATGCTTGAGGAAACATTTATACAAACAGAGCAAGCAAGCCAACCAACCCTTTAAACTACAAGCATTAGGAAAATATTTCTGTTTTTAATAAGTTCACAGACAAGTTTTAAAAATTAGAAAATGATTAAAACTTTAAGCTTGAGAAGGAATCAGAACTTCTCCAAAACTAAGTGATGTGTTTTGCCAAAGGTATACAGAAAATTGTGTATATCTAATGAAAACTTTCAACTATTGTCTATATGGTTGATTTTTTGGTAAATTATGTATAAAAATGTTGTGATTTCTGTAGATTTTGAATAATAATAACTTTCTTTTATTTCCAATTATACCAAGGAGAGCAGAAAAAACCAGCAGAAAGTGAAAGACTTGAAGAAATTTAGGCAAGTAGATTGTTTAATTGATTGTTTCTTTCTGACTTCCCCATTAAAGAAGAAGAAAAATAGATAAGAGAGCGAAAATGTCAAATATACTTTGTATACAACAAAGAAACCCTTAAGAGCTATTTTCCTAATGCTTGTAGTTTAAAGATTTGGTTGGCTTGCTTGCTTTGCTTGTATAAATGTTTGCTCAAGCATTGTAGTTAAGATTGACATCTGCAATCAATAGATAGGCGGGGCTTCAGCTTGTATACATTATACTCTGCATTATACTTAACATCCAATAACATTTAAGTATGAGTAAAAAAAAAAAGTACACAAGACAACAAACAATATGATTATTTTTATCTTTCTCATTCATAACACCAATAGCGAGTTCATTTACCATTTTCATATATTTTATAATAAGTTACGAGGTATATGAAAACAATTATAATATCAAATTATTTTGTCCAGGAACAGTTATCGTCCTTTGATTTTCGTTGTCTACAAATACAGTCTAGTGTGGACAGAGTGTTACTTGCAATTTTTTTTAATACCCTTTACAAATTTATTTCTTCCATGTTTTATGCCTCAAATAGCAAGTAGGGGGATGAAATTACACTAAAAAAATTTGGGTCATGAATTTTAAAATAGTGATTTGGTCCAGCTAAAAAAGGTTAAAAATTAGTATTTCGGAAGCTGTCAAAAGAATTCAAGACCCCTTAACATAAAATTGTACATATATTGAGTTAGAGCTGATGAAGTTTTCTATAATTTTGATATAATTTGTCCCAAAAGTAGTACACCACACTAAAAATATTATTGAGAAAGCACAGGTAGGATTTTTTTAGTAATCATTTATTGTCCAAAAGAAATGCACTACGAAATAACTGTGTTCTTGGGCCATTTTAGATTTACGGGGAGACAAGTACAACAAACAAAACAATAATGTTTCATTCAATGGGAGATTACTTTGATAATTTTTGTGCAGTTGGAAATCAAACCTTTTTCCAGCTCTTAAATTCCTACACAGACAGGACTGATGCTATATTATTGGGTAGTAAGAAACGAAAAAACTTTTATAAAGTTTAAGGATGATAGTTTAGTTAAATTGGAAAAATATATAATTTGTGTCAATTTTAATTAGGGCCCCGCCAAATGGTGGATGCCCTATAGTGATCAGTCTGTCCGTCCTTCTGTTCGTCAGTCCGTCCGTAACAAATTGTGTTAGCTCTATATCTAGAGAACCGTTATGATTTCAAAGTTTATACTTGACATGTATATTAACCAACACCAGAGGATGTTTCATAATGTATGTACAACTTCCTAGGTCAAAGGTCAAGGTCAAGGTAAAAAAACTTTGGTTTTAGTTGACAACCCCATGTCCTATGGTAAAGATCGTGTCCACTCTATATCTTGAGAACCGTTATGATTTCAAAATTTATACTTGACATTTATATAAACCAACACCAGAGGGTGTCACGTGTGTCATAATTTATGTACAACTTCCTAGGTCAAAGGTCAAAGTCAAAAACTTTGGTTTCAGTTGACAACCCCATATCCAATGATAAAGATACAAATTTTTTACCACACATTATTCACAGCAGGGCCCACAGAGATGGCTCCCATCTCAATGATATCTAGTTCCTTTTAGGTTATTTCTGGGACATGTTTCATGGTATTTGGAGTAAGGCTTGGTGGCCTAGGCCTACTACAGCTTAGATATAAGTAGGTTTAAAATTCTGTTTTTGAATCAAAAGATATGTTCATTATACTATAAAAAAAATATAGGGAAAATAATGTGCCCTGAGGATTGAAAAAATATGTAATCAGTATCGTTATAGGTTACAATAAACCTTTATAAATATAAGGAGATGTCGTATTATTGCCAATGAGACAACTATCCACCAAAGTTTAAATGAAGTGGATGACATAAATTATAGACAACCAAACAGCTTCAACAATGAGAAAAACCCATACCGTATAGTCCACTGTAAAAGGCCCCGACCTGAAAAAATGGGAAACAATTCAATAGAATTATGACATACATGAACCAAATACAACCACTGAACTACAGGCTCCTGACAGGGGACAGGCGCATAAAGAATGTGGCGATGTTAAACATGTTTGTGAGCGCTCAACCCTGCCCTAACCTGGGACAGTGGTGTTCAGCACAACATAAGATCATTGGTTTACAATGTTATATTCTCACGGCTATAATGCCATATTGCTGTGAAAATATAACAGATCAATTGAAGCACCGATAGTTTTCTTAAACAAGTATATGTTATTAATATACTGTTTTGTTAAAGAAATCTTTCGTGCTAGGATTGATATGTAAAAGGAATAAATCAAACAAGTATATTTTTATGCCTTTGCCGTATTGGAGGGGGCATTAAGTGTTACCCTTGTCCGTCTGTCTGTCCCGTCCATCTCAAAAATTGGTTTCCATTCTCTAACTTTAGTTTGCCTCAACCAAATGTTATGAACTTATACACAATGCTTATGACCACAAAACGATCTATGTGGAAGTTGACTCGTGCATATTTACAAGCGGGGGCATCTGTGGCCCATAGACACATTCTCCATTTATTTTATTATTTGTTTATAGGCTGATGTAATGACAATGATTTCATGGTGTTGGGAGTAAGAATTGGAGATCTGATACTGCTAACATGTTGGTAGGTATACAAACTTTTTTTAATCTATTAGTGTTTGATATCAATTTAATAATGGTTCAGGTATCAGAAAAGATTGAATTACATGGAGATATTCAGCTCCAGAGGAAAGAGGGTATATGATTGTCCAAAATGGTAAAAATACTGCCAAGCTTAGAAAAGAGAAATTGTTTTTGACTTTTTTTTCTATTTGTCAAGTTTTAAACTGAATACCCACTAGATTTCGTGAGTAATAGTGAACCACAAATTTTAAATGTTCAACAACGAAGTACCAATTTTCTATCAATCGACTTTCAATCAAATATCCACAGAATCCAATTTTTCCTCAATCCCCATGATTGTTGAATATTAAATGAATCCACAGAAATTCGATTTTCCCTCAATGCCCATTAAAATATCTGAATCCACAGTAGATTATTTTGAGGAGTTTAAATAACTGATTCAACTTTGTATTACAGGTTAGCATCACAGCTTGTCCATAGGGATACTGGCTGGGGTAGCATTTGGATCTGTTTCAAGGTGAGAATATATTTATTCATCCACATACAAATTTAATCAATTGATGAAATCTTGTGGACAGTTTAACTTTCTATAAATCTTTATTGTTTGCAATTTATATCGTCTTGATATTTTCTACTGTTACCTTAATAGATGTAAACAGATATTTTTATAGTTGAGAAGGTTTATAGTCCTTTTTAACTACTTTCACTTATTCCATCTTTAAACTTTTGTCAAATGACCATGTACTGAATCATAAAGAGAATCACTGTTTTTATGATAATATAGAATTTTGTTTACTTGTAAAGGGGAGATACCCTCACAGTCATTTGCAAGTGCTGTTACAAATATAAGATGTCTTAATTATATTAAACTTTGCTTCTTATTCAGTTTTGTATTTCTTTCAATACAAATTTCCAAAGAATTCATTTCTTCAGTCAATATATGGAGAAAACAAAGTAAATGTCATAAAACTTGAACTAAACAATGAAAGTTTATCAAAATAGCCTGAATTATTTTACCATGTATGTACATTTTTCAAATTTTCAGCTTAATAACTTCTGCAATTGTCTGAAACTCAATGAATGATTAATGCGATACCGGTAATAGTAATTTTAACACCTTGAAAATCAAAATTGGTATATTAAGATTGCTTTCCATTTTATAGCAAATTTAGCTGCACGATTTCTATTGCAATATTTTTTGGTAAATCAATAAATTTGAATAGAAAACAAGTATTTTTACATACAACAATATCTGTCTATTTAAAAGAAAAATTGCCACTCAAATATTTAAACATTACCTAATTCATATATTTTAACATTACTTAATAACTTTGAATTGTCAACAAATGAAATATTATTTTATTTCTTTTACAGGTGTGTTCCTGCTGCTGCCTTGTGTGTTCAATCCTGTGGACAATAATAATCATGCAAACCACATATATGTTGCATTTTTGTTTATTAAAATCCTTAAGTGATAATTCTGAAAGCCAAATGATTAATTTTTTAATGCTATTATTTATTTTCCATTTACTGTAAACTCACAAATTTTTGTTTTTTAATGCTGTTATTTATTTTCCAATTATTGAAAATACACAGATTTTTGATATATTTTTTTTACTGAAAATTGCTACACCGAGATAGATTTTGCAAAAATAAAATTACATTTTAAATTTTGATGCATTATTTATTTGCAACATGTTCTTAATGACAATAATTAATTTAAATAAATGCTTGCAAAGTTTTTTTGAATTTACAGTATAAATATGTTTTCATTATTTATATATGCATGATATTATTATACATTGTATTTTGCTTTATAATAAACAAAATTGTATAATAGTTGTTATTTGAGAAGTACCAGTGTACTGTTTTACAAAGCATCCATTAGACTTTCATCAGTTTACAGACGTCATTATTGTGAACCAAATGATATTTTCCACAGATTCACTTGAAAGTTACCTGTCGATTTAAACTTTTGTAAGTTCTTTTGTCCCATCTAATAAATATAATAGCTATTGTTCTCTGTGGAGTTATTTCACTGGGACCTTTAAATTTCTTCTAAGAGAAATCTACCACTCATTGATTAATTTACCTGAACAAAAAATCAAAATTTCAATGGTGAAAATACATGTACCAATACTAAATAAGGACTCACAAAAACGCATGTGATGTTGTATTTATTCAATATCAATAATACATTTTCAATTTGTTCAATATAATTAACACTTATTCAAAATTTAAAAGTTGATTTATGACAAAATTTTCAACATTGTTCCTATTAAAATTTGTCTTTTTGTGTGTTTGACAAATAAGAACTAGAAAATGACGATGTTTAGATCAAGGCCTTCTTAAATGTATTCTATAACTAAAACAGCTGCGCCATGAGCGCATGATATGCTCGTCGTCTTGTGTGTGAGGTTTTATGCAATAATCATAAATAGTTTCTGAGATACGGCGCGACATGTGAAAACTCCCCTTTTTTTTAATAAAAAAATCAATAACTCTAAAATAAAATTTTGAATCATCACCAAAAAGTGTATACAGATCTTTAGATTAATATAATTAAGAAGTGTGTAAAGTTTTAAGTAATAATCGTAAATCGTTTTTGAGATACGGCGCGACGTGAAAAATACATACCCCTGTTTTAGTTACACAAAGTTCCGTATCTCAAAAAATTTTAATCTTATTTTCATCAAAAAGTATACAGATCGTTTGACCATCATAAGAAACAACTATATTAAGTTTCATGAAATTTGGATAAGTTGTTCTCAAGTTGAGGTGGGACATGTGGACGCCGGACATTTGTATACCATAATACGTCCCGTCAAAATTTTGACGGGCGTATAACAAACACACAAAAATTGCAAATTTCAATAGGAACAATGATAAAATTTTTGTCATATGATTAAATCGGTGTTATATTAAACAGATTGAAAATATATTATATATATTGAAGAATAATACAACATCACATGCAGTTCTGTGAGTAATAATACATGTATTTTCATCAATTTAGAAGATCACTTTTTAACTCGGGTAAATTAATCAATGAGTGATAGATTTCTCTTAGAAGAAATTTAAAGGTCCCAGTGAATAAACTGCACAGAGAACAATAGCTATTGTTTTTATTAGATGGGACAAAAGAACTTACAAAAGTTTAAATCGACAGGTAACTTTCGAGTGAATCTGCGGAAAAGTATCCTTTGGTACGCAATAAAAGTTTTGCATGTTGGCACAGTGAAACACAGTGTGTCTGTTGAAGATTATGGTGTTTGATATGGATAGGTTTGTTTAAAAATAATATGTTCCACAGGGCGCAGCTTGATACGACCTGAACACTTAGGGCACTAGTATGATACAGCTCAGAATTTTGATTGTGATGAAATATTTGACACAGCATACATAGGTTTCTGACAAAAAAATTAGAATGAATGTGGTCTAAGAACTTAAAAATTTGAAATTGGACATTTACTTATTATGGTCCAATATCCAAAATATAAATGCATGGTTAGATTCAGCATATCAAAGAATTCAATTATTGATGAAATCAAACAAAGCTTAATTTTGGACCCCTTGGACCTCAATGTGAACCAATTTGATAGTAAACCAATTTGATAGTGAGCCCAAAATCCAAAATCTAAAGACATGGTTAGATTCAGCATTATAAAGACCCCAAGAATTCAAGACTTGGAATTAAACCCGGGGTCCCCATTCAAATTGGTCAAGAAATACTGTAAATTCAGAAATTATTGCAATTTTTTTTAAAATGGACAAAAATGCGAGATTAATTATTGTTATTTCATGAAAATCTGCATACATATCTTTGTATCAGATATAAGAATACAAGTTCTTATTATTGTGATACTCAATCAGTTGGATTATTTGCATTAATAAAAAGTTCGCAATTATTTCTGAATTGACAGTAATTAAGCAATTTATACAAAGTATTAGAAAAGTATTATTTTTGGTCCTTATTCATAAACGGTCAGGGCCATAATCCCCAAAATTAATCCCAACTTTTCAGTTTTGGTATGGAACCTAGTGGTATAATTTCATAGACTTATACTTGGGGAGCTACCATTTGATTTTTATGGGGGGCTAGGATCGAAAATTTTGTCCTGCCTTTTTATTTTTCCCTCTATTCGGTCCTGCCTTTTTTTTTTAGTTTATCCTGACTTTTTTTATTAAACTAAATTGTCATCCTGCCTTTTTTTTTTTTTTGCAAATAATCTCATACTGCCTTTTTTTTCTCAAAACTCCTGTCCAGCCTATTTTTTTCAAATTTCATCCTAGCCCCCCCCCCCCCCCCCCCCCCCCCTAAAAATCAAATGGTAGCTCCCTTAAGTTATTGTCTTGATGCCAGAAAATCCTTGTTTTTTGCCCCTTAATTCCTTTATTCCGATGTTGTGTTTTGTGTACTATTGTTTGTCTGTTGGTCTTTTTCTTTTTTAGCCATGGGGTTGTCAGTTTATGAGTTTGAATGTCACTCTGGTATCTTTCGCCTCTCTTTTTCAACGGTTTGGGCCATTACCCTCAAAATCAATCCCAACCTTCCTTTTGAGGTATAGAACCATGTGGTACGATTTCATAGAGCGTCCTATTGTGTACGTACTAACCTTTGAACAGTTCTATATTTGAAGATTATTTTAGGTCAAAAGTTACCAAAGCTATAGTTCGGCAAGGTCACATTTTAACGTGGCCTACTCTTCACCTTCCTCAAATTTCATTTAAACCTCGCTTTGAATTTATATGTTGTGCTGGATGTATAGATACGAGACACGTCCTATCGGAATGAAAACGTAAAATCCAATGCCTCATGCAGGCAAATGCCACGCACTGCACGTTAAAGAATCCTTGTAATATCTCCTTAAGATGTCTGTAATTATTGGTGGCCTGTTGTAAGGTAAAATTTCTGCCCTATCTCACACATCCTCTTTCAAAAGAGGCAGTTTATATTTGTGCTAACAAGCCTTGAAGAATTGACGTATTTTGTTTTCGTCCTGAGTATGCAAGAAATACTGCCACTATGTATTCAACATGAACAAGAAACATTTGTTCTTTTATGCATAGATGTACTGTGATCCACAAAATTTGAAAAGTAAAATAACAAAAATACTGCACTCCAAGGAAAATTCAAAACGGAAAGTCCCTTAATATATATCAAATGGCAAAAATCACAAGCTCAAACAATACAAGTATATTACGGGAAATATACATGGGATCCCTTTCATTTAAATAAAAGTAAAATAACCATGACAATAACTTAAAAATATTTTCAGTGAATCAGTTTAAAGAGGGTCGTAATGGGGGTACCTTCATGACGAATAACGATAAAAAAAATCTAGCCAAATGACGTTAACGATAGTTTTAAGTGCATGATGATAAAATGTACTGTACACTTTCTTTATGACGATAAAGCAATATACTGATATTGACTAATCATGTTAAATTCTTTCCAAAAAAAATGGTAACGATAAATTATTTGAGACCTCTGATGAATCACGATAAAATTTTAACCAATTTGATGTTAACGGTAGTCGAATATGACCGTTTGACGCCTGACGGTAAAGGGCATCCCTACCCTCTTTAAATAAGGGGAAAATAAACATGGGCAATAGCGAAATATTAGTTCTAGCTGCTACTACTACTACTATAACAAAGAGAGTGGATTAGGTGGCTGCCTTGATAAATCATCTGGGAAAGATTTAATTTTTTTTAAACTGTCAAATATCTATGATATAAGTAAAGAAAATGCAAATTTAAAGTCACCTAAAGGAAATTTGGAAATTGAATCAAACAAATATTAAATAGGATTTGAAATTTTATGTTAGTTATATTTTTTGTATCCAAGTTACACATACTAAATTGAAAATAAGTTTTATAAGTATCAACAAAATCAATAATGGCAAAGTGAAATATCATCATGATCATAGTTTTGAATTTTTGAGAATCAAAGATTTATAGAAATGTTTTTAATTAAAAAGGATCAATAAAGCAGGTATATATTGAGTACAGGGTTGAAGCATTTATTTTATACCTCCGAGTAAAACTGGAACCTGATAGAATGCATAGCAACGTGTAATAACATTGAATCTATGGATTCATATGTTCAACTATACCACTGGATGTACCAGTAGAATAAAAATTTCTGGACTGGTAATCACAATTTGTATAAAGTATAAAGTATATATATAGCCGGGCCATGCTTTCAATGGGGATGATGCGGCTTTATAGCTTGGCATATATACTTATTGACGTCATAATCACCATGTAAAACGCCATAAGTGAGTGTTTACTGTATACGATCGAAGTAAAAGGCAGAATTTTCTTGTTTCAGGGGGGATCAAATGTTCATGGGATTCAAAATACCTTATATGACAGATATTTAATTGACAATTTTGTTCAAATAAATGATGCAGTAATTGTAGACCAATGGTTTTTGTGTAATCATAATTTGTTCTTGGTCCCCTTATACTAGCAGGACTCAACTTAACTTATTTATACTGGACCCTTAATTATCTGGACCATACTAACTAAGTCTGAACTAATAATCTGCCAGTCTGTTATAGTCTTAACCCCATTCTCTGTCTGTACTTAACCAGTTTTTAATGTCTGAACTATATTCGACCAA